CCGCCGAGCCCTCCCAGCCGCGGCCGGTTTTGCCCTCGCCCGACTCGTGGGGACACCCGGAGGACACCCGGAGTTAAACTTCCCCGTAGTTTCTCCTCTGCCCTCCGAGCCGCCCAGCGTCGGCACTGCTGGATTTTCGGGGACCCTCCCCGGCGGGGCTCCCTGCCCAGCCGAGAGCCCGCCTGAAGATTTCCCAGCCTCTCCGTGAATTCCTGTCGGTAGTTAATAAGGTTGGAATACTAGTTGAAATATTTTACGAGTGAAAAATATTCAGCACTGGAATTGATGGCAGGAGAGGAGATTTCCTTGCCCGTACTGAACCATTTCCCTTTCCCCTGAGCAATGCCAGAGGCGCAGAGCTGGCGTACCTCCCTGGCAGATGTGTGTTACGAGCACGTTTTTATTTGTCTCCAGAATGCACAGCATTCCCAATCAATAATGCTTAACATCTCTGTCTATGCTATTAATAATCACTATTCCATCTTGCCCACTGCTTAACAGGTGACGAAAATGCAGGGTCCTCTGCCCTGCCAGTCCTAATAAGATCTGCAAAATGCTTTCCAACTATATGTTAATATAACCAGGCATAAATCCGGTGTAGTAGAAGGGGAAATTGCGCTCAGGTGTTCAGAAAATTTGTGCTGAGCCCTAGTCAAATCTCGTCCTGCTCCTGCCTGCTTCAAAATTGCACTGAGAAGCAACTGGTTTCCTGGCAGGGTCAGGCATCCTCCAAGGTGCAGGCTGTAAATGTGTAGATAAGGAGACTATTACAAAACGAACAGGAAAAAAACCCAACCCTGGAAACTACTGTGGGGCAGTAGTTTCCAACTTAGTTTCCACTATTCAGGAAAAGAGACATCCCTCACCTTGGATAAGTTTTTTCCTTAAATACTCACCAAAAGAAACCTGGAGCAAATTGTTCCAGTTCCAGGGATAAGCTCTGGGCTAGGTCTGTTGGATGTTTAGCCGGAGAGGTATCTGTATTCATCCAGAGGAACTTCTTGTGTTTGGCCGTTGTTTGGGGGATAAAGGGAATTGGAGGGTATGGTTTTGAGTGGGTGCTCCAGGGAGGGGCAGAGCCCTGGGGAAAGGAGATCCGTGCTCCCTGGGTGTTCATGCTGATTTTCCTCTTTCACTGTCTCCCCCGTCCCACTCTCTTTACCTAGACGGCTCCTTTCCCATGAGCCAGCGCAGCTTCCCACCGTCCTTCTGGAACAGCACGTACCAGCCCTCCTCTGTCCCTGCCACCCTGAGCAGCCCCTTGGCGGCTGCCGCCCACAGCGAGCTACCCTTCGCC